CTGGACCAACCGCTTCTTCAGCCTCTGGTTCGGCAGCATGTCCACCTTCTCCAGGGTCCACGACAAGAAGCTCTGCATTGTCGCCATCTCTGCCCTTCTCAGCCTTCCCCCTGACCAGATTCCCCAGAGCGTTTCCGTCGGATGGCCCAGGCTGCTGCAGGGCATCACTGAGCTGTTCAAGACCCTGCCCTCCGCTATGAAGAGTGAGTTGACTTGACACACATGCTGAACCTCCTGACTGACGATGAAACAGACCGCGAGGAGGCGCTCAGGGATGACTACCACCTCGAGGGCAACTACGAGTACGGTGACGACGACGACTGGGGCGACGATGAGGCCAACTGGAACGCCGAGGAAGGCCCCGAGGCCGAAGAGACTGGCGAGGCCCGGGACGAGAGCACAGCATATCTTGAGTTCCTCAACGATGAGGTGAGCCCGAACCACGCTACTGCGCTTCCACACTTTGACAAGACTGACGGATCGCACAGGCACAAAAGTTCAGCCGCGGCCTCGAGGAAGCCGAGAGCGAGGATGACCTTGGTGAAGACAGCGTGCTGCTAGAGTCTCCCCTCGACAAGCTCGACCCTTATCAATTGTTCAGCGGCACCCTGATGAGTATGCTCCCCCCCTCCCCATGTCTAACAACCCCCCCCCCCCCCTTCAAAAGGCAGGCTATGAAACTGACATTTCTGTAGAACTTGAGTCTGAACAGCCCCAGTTCTACGCATCGCTTGCGTCTCACCTATCTGCGGAAGACCAGGCGGCTCTCCAGGGTATCATGGCCAAGGCCAGCGAAAACGCCCAAGCGCAGCTCATCGCGCAACAGCAGGTGGCTGCGACGGCTAACGACAGCGTGGCTTAGTGATGCAGCATGCAACAGGAAGCCTGGGTCTTGCACAGACACCGTGTTGGATGGCAATGCGTTCCTCGCATAACACGCCGTGGCGTAGGTGGCTCATGGCAAGGAGAGCACGGCGTGTTTGGTTCGGACGGCAATTGTGAGCTCCTCTCATGAACGCCGTCTGATGGCCCTTGACGTCTGGTCCCACAGTCGTGCAAGGGCAAGAGGGGGAACCCAGCATGCCAAGTGCGCCGCAGGCGTCGTGGACGAGTTTAGGCGGTACATTCCCCAGGGCAAAAACACAAGCCGCAGAGAGCGGGTTGTGAGTCTATACGAAAGGGTAAGCAACGGACAGGCTTTGCTCACGCGAAATGATCTGTTGGATTGGGTTATCGCCCGTTGTGGGCAAAGCAAGTGTGAGGACTGATTGCACGTCGTCGAGGTTCGAGGATGGCCGAGTAGTGAGGAAAGACGTGCAAGGAAGAAAGATAGACAGGCACCTGGGTCGCTCCGAGTACAGATGTCAACACGGTGGCCGGAAGACGTGGTGGCCGGCCCCCTGGTTTGGAAGTGTCGTGCAGATGGAGGAGTTGAGTTGATGATGAGTAGTTATTCCCCGCCCCCTTACCCCCGCCCCTCGCTCCCTCCCCCGCCCAGCCCAGCACCATTGCACGAATCAAAGTAAAAAACAAAGAAAGTTCAAATATCATTCCGTTTTCCGCTCTGTTGTGAAATATGGTAGCTCGTAGTGATAGACCGGGGATTGATAAGATGATGACCAACAGAAACCAGAGGGATAAGGTCTCGCGATACAGTACGTCGTTTAGAGCGCGTTGAGGGGAGTTCTACAGAGTTCGCTCGAGTCAGGACGAGAGGGTTCCAGCGAACCAACCCAGCTGCACCTGCACCCAGTTGGGCCCGACCGAATGCCACTAAACAACATTGGGGCGGTCACCGGCGGGGTCCGAAGGTGAGACCAAGCAGCGGTGGACCTCAACCACGGTCACATGGCTCTAGACCGAAAGAACGACCAGTCATTCCCAACTTATCCTTCTCCCCATACTCACGAGAATCTACTCTGGGCTCTCATTTTGTTGCACATTTGAAGTTTGCATCTGGAGTCTGGGACACGGTGGTGCCTTCTCCCCATTCTCACTCGTCCTATCTACTGGCTCGCGAGGCCTCCTTCGCCCCTTCCCTCTTCCCTCTTCAAAACCAGCACAACATGACGACCAGATACAGGGTTGAATGTGAGTGCAGACACAGCGGTGCTCGAAGCCCGATGGTTCTCTTCTCAGAAAGCGCGTCCACGAAGCTGACTTGAAACCAAGATGCCCTCAAGACTCACAGGAGAGACCAGTTCATAGGTACGGATCCTTGTACCACCTTGACTCGCTCCGCCTGGGCGACGAGGTCATCCCCACACCAGCGACGGTGCTCAGAACCAGCGACGCAGCTCAGGACCATCAACGACTGACTCACACATCTTTCAGAATGGATCAAGGGTCTTCTGGCTGTGCCCTTTGTCCTCTACTCCCAGCCGACGGGAGTGCTTGATGCGAATGGCACGAGTCTCGCGCGGACGGCCGAGGAGGCTCACCGTCGGTATGCCGAGATCATGCGTGACGTCGAGCTCATGATCGACGATCACAGTGAGTGGAACATGATACATCCCCGACATGCACAGGTTGCTAATACGATGGCCCTCAAAGTCACTCTACAACCAAACAAGGTTCCTTCCAAGCTGACCATGCTCGTCCCTGGGGTCGGCCCATTCTTCACCCGCCTGCCCCTGGAGGCGGCCTTCAATCACCAGGATCGCAAGCGGTACATATCGTCTCGGCGCTATGTGTCCCCGTCCTTCAACGACGTCCGTCTTGTCCTCAACACAGCCCAGACAATGGCCGTCACCTCGGGTTCTCTCCAACTCGCCACCTTTGATGGAGACGTTACCCTCTACGACGATGGTCAGTGCCTGGAGCCGTCGAGCCCCCTCGTTCCTCGCCTCCTTGACCTCCTCCGCCGTGATGTCAAGATTGGCATCGTCACGGCTGCCGGCTACACCACGGCCGACCGCTACCACGAGCGGCTCTACGGTCTCCTCGACGCCGTGGCGGCCTCGGCCAGCCTGTCCGAGGAGCAGAAGCGCAACGTCGTCATCATGGGTGGCGAGGCGAACTACCTCTTCGAGCTCGACCCCACCGTCCCGCACCTGTTGGCGCCCGTGTCCCGCGACCGCTGGCTCACGCCCGAGATGGCGACCTGGTCCGACGCCGGCATCGCCGCCCTCCTCGACGTCGCCGAAGCCGCCCTGCGCGACTGCGTCCGCTCCATGAACCTGCCCGCCACCATCCTCCGCAAGGACCGCGCCGTCGGCATCATCCCGACCGACCCGGCCGTCCGCATCCCGCGCGAGTCCCTCGAGGAGACGGTCCTCGTCGTGCAGAAGATCCTCGAGCTCTCCGCCCTCGGGTACGCCGCCGAAGGCGCCGACCGTAGCGCGCCCCACCCGCCCGTCGGCGCCCGCATCCCCTTTTGCGCCTTCAACGGCGGCCGCGACGTCTTTGTCGACATTGGCGACAAGTCCTGGGGCGTCACCGTCTGCCAGAACTGGTTCGCGTCGCGCGGCGGAGCCGGCGCCGCGGCCGGCGAGCCCATCCGCGGCGAGAACACGCTGCACGTCGGCGACCAGTTCCTCAGCGCCGGCAGCAACGACTTCAAGGCCCGCAGCGTCGGCACCACGGCCTGGATCGCGAGCCCCGCCGAGACGGTCGAGCTGCTGGATGAGCTTGCCGGCATGATGGACGGCAAGGCGTGACGCGGGGGGTTCGAAACGTCCTCTGGCCTTCTTGCCTAGCCCGGCGGCCTCATCCGCCGCGCGTGTATGCGTAGGAGGCTGCGCATAGGATGCATGCCGGCGGGGCCAAGGCCGTGTCTTCTCGACGATCCAGCCCCACGGCATGGCGGAGCGAAACACCTGAGAATGGTGTTGCGCCGTCCATGTCCGCATCTTCGTCTGTGTTCGGCCGGCGTAGGGAATCGCGCGTGAAAAACTCGGTTTCCCACGGCGGACAGTTGTCTTGCGCAGACAAGGTCAACGAGGCTGAAACGGGAAGGCTATGGAGTAAAGTCGTTGTTATGCCTGGTCGGGAGGCCCTGGGAATGTGCCCTCGCGAAGAGTAGCCTCGAGTTTGCCCACAATATAGCTGGTGCCCGCTGTTCGTCTAGTACGTACTGTTCGCCTCGTATCTTCTGTTCGTCTAGTATCCAATTTGAAGACCTCAACCTCGATAAACAACTCGACTGCGCGCGCTGTGATTTGTGCTGCTGCGGGATGATGGATGACCAAGCAATGTCGTCTCCTGACTGGCAGACGAACTTGCTGTAGCTCTTGTGTCAGGGTTTGAGTCTGCCTTGACCGTGATTCTCGAGATCGGAGAAAGACTTGACGCGTGGTCTGCTTCAACACTCGGGCAGGACCGTCATTCGATGACAACAGGAGCGGCGGCTCCCAACCGTTGACCAAAGAAAAGCCATGAGAAGACGCGGTGCCGACCAAGAGATGTACTTTGTACGAGTGTTATATTCTTTTGCCCTGTCTCAGCGGCAGCCCCTCACCTTCTACCTCGTCTACCGCTCTACCAAATAATCTATCCCGCCGGCTCCTCCCTGGGCAGCCGACCACCCCTGGCCAAGGTGGGTAATTTTTTTTCTGTTCCGGCCAAAACCAGCTTTGTTCTGTCTGGCATAAAAATGAAGAAAAGGGGGGTATTGTGTTGTGCCGAAAAATCGAAAAGCAAAGCCCATACCGCCAGCCCAACCGCGTGCCGACAACCCTATACCCATGCATGCAAGCCACGAAAAAATAGTGTTTCGGGAACCCTGCCACCGACTCAAGGCCGATCAGATAGGGAGTTCTCTGTGTCATCTGAATCCCGTCGCCGCCAAAACAGTTCGCCTGCTGATATGTGAAAAGCCCGAGGTGAAGTGACAAAAGAAAGTTGTTGTGCAACTGCGGAGGCTGCATTTGTGTGTGTGTGTGTGTGTAAAAAGAGAGAGAATGAGGACAACGAACAAGCGAAGAGAATCGAAGCGCAAAAGGAGTTGCGCACCAAACTGGATCTGGATGCAACTCAGTCGTCGACGAACTACTCCCCCCTTAAAAGGCGGTGCCCAGCGGCGCACCGAAATTTGTTGTCTTCTTGAGCTTCAAAGGGACGTCGACTTCCACGTCCTTGTCTTGCGGCGACTCGGACTCGCTGTCATGATCAGTGACAGCGCTGGCATCGCCGGCTCCCTTGTTTTCGAGTCCAGCTTGTGCCTTGTCCTTCGGCTCCTCTGCTGCTTCGTCCAAATCGTCCTGGAGGCAGACTGGTGTTGAGTCTTGCCCTCGACTAACATCCTCCAGCTTTTCCGACAGTCGCCTCAAGAAAATCTCATCATGCGCGGGAATGTTGCGGATCATGAGAGGGCCCTTCAATTTGATGTCTTCGGCCGGTGCTTCCAGAATGGGTTCAGGGTGATCCTCCGCCGAGGCTTCAAGCTCGAAAGCCACCGAGTCTTCAATTCTGCGAGTCCGTCGACCTAACGCCCCAATGTCAAGAGACAGCGCTGGCGCCGCATTAGTCTGCCCGAAAGTGGGCGTAGGGCTGGTGCTTTCGCCTGCAACGGTGGCAGTTTCAGTTGCTGCAGCCGTAGGCAAATGCGATAGAGAGTGGTTCGGAGTGTGGCCAGCATGCATGACGAGTCGGTCCGTGACTGGAGCGGACAGAACCTGCAAAGTGTGGTCCTTGGACGAGGCCCGCCTGCCTAGCGGAATGCCTGACTCGCCAGGTGGTGAGGGGTTACGTGAAGACGTTTTGGAGTCATCGGTCCCCGAGTCGGTGAACGTTTCCTTCTGAACAGCGGGTGCTCTGACGGAGATTCCTTCGAGCTCAGGGTGAATCGTCTGAATGTCGACGACTGGCACGTCTTCACTCGTGGGAGAAGCGAGGAAATCAACGGTAGGTGACTTCATCGGTTGCATGTTGGGGTCGAGAGGGACAAAGGTCGTGACCGTGGGTTGCTTGGAGGGTGAGATGCGTGAACCGCCGGGGCTGAAGAGGTATGATTGTGAAGAGGGATAGAGAGGGTTGAAGTTCGAGAGAGCCGTGCCGGCGAGTTCAATGCCACGAGAGTGGCGTCCATCGGTTGCCGAGGCACTGGCGCTTGAGAGCGAGAGAGGGAAGTCGGTGGAACCGTCTCCACCGGGGCGGACGCCGGGGATGGCCACGCTGACAGCGGCGACCTTTCCGGCGCGTTCGAGTTCTAGCCGCTGCACCATGCCCTGAAGTTGCACAGTGTTACTTTCGAGGCCTGCGACTCGCTCTTGGAGCTGTTGGATCTCTTGGAGCATAGCACTCTTCTCTGCATCCCACTCGGTTCGCTCTTCTTCCATGATGACGCGTTCCTCCTTGTACACCTCCTCTATGCGTTCCCGGTTGGCCTCCATGTATTTACGCTCAGCCTCCCAGGCCTCGCGAATGCGGCTGTTTTGCTGAGTCAGGCGGCGAATCGTCTGGGCGGCGGCAGAAGCCGATGAGGCATCGGCAGAGCTAGACCTCGGGAGCGGTTGTGATTGCGAATACGGGATGGACAGGGCATAGGCATTGCCGCTGTTCATGGAGGCGGGATGGATGTTTGGTGAGGTGGCGGCGGAAAGGGTCTTCCTGTCCAGCCTCGCACGGTTGACGGGCGGCGACAAGCTGCTGTGACGGCGCTGAACAGACGCGTGTTCGAGGCCGGGGACGGACCGCACGGGTTGGGCCTGCGGCGAGAGGAAGCTCTGTAGGTTGGGTGTGTGACGGACGGCACCTGAGGAGAGGGGAGAGTAGCTGATGGAACTGGACGTGTTGGTCATCTTGGTGTCGAAATAGCCCGTCTGGCTTGTGACGCGCGAGAGAGGGAGGGAGAGAGGTGAGGCGACGGAATGCGACGAGAGCGACTCGCGACTGCTACGGCTCAGGTCGGTCTGGTCCGCCGGCCGAATGGCAGGTAAAGTCAGGGCATCGCTTGAACGGGCGCCCGGAGGCAGGAAGGTGTCGGGTTGCAGCCTCGCCATGTTCGATCTGGAGGACCTGGGCAGTCGCATGGACGATGAGTGAGGAAGGGGGCCGATGCACGCCATTGGGAGCCGGGGGCGATCTTGGACGACGAGTCGGAGCGACGGCGACAGTGGGTTGGGGTACGCGGTCTGCCTAGTGACTCGTGGCGGATGGATCGGTTGGCAAAGTGTGGTGTTCGAACTGAGACGACCGAATGACGGTAAGTGCAAGTGCAAATGCAAGTGGACGCGTGAACGACGGTCCGGACCTGCAATGGCTAACAAGTGGCAGCGGAGCGAGCAAAGGGAGGTGTTTCTCAGAGGTATGACGCAACCTGTCTTGTCAATGGATGCGAAGCGGAATGTTGAGAAGTCGCGATAGGGGTCATCCTCGTCAACAAGGATGAGTAAGGTGAGTAGGTGCTGGCCGGAAATTCGAGCCCGACGTGTTGAGAACCTGAGGCGGCGGATGGGTGTCGTGAGGCAATGAGCGTTTGAATGTCGGGTAGAGTGTGCAGAAGAATGGAGGATGGAGGGGAAAGTGGGAAGCCGAGTGAAATGGGGTCTGGAAGGTAAAGAGCCGAAGTTGTCGTGAGTCGAGCCGGGCATGGGGCCCGACCCAGTGAGGTGGAGAGAAGTGGCCAGGGTTGGGCAGGCACAAGGCACAGGGGCCCCCGTCTCTCGTCCCTTCGTCGCTTCTTGTTTGGGTAGCTGGCGGGGGGGTCTCGCGGTTGCCCTTACCGCCTGAACTGGCCTCGCATGCCTGCCACGCACCACTACTGCTGGCTCTGCTGGCTCTGCTGGCTCTGCTGGCTCTGCTGGCTCTGCTGGCGCTGGCTGGCGCTGGCTGGTCCCGCTGCCGGCCTGCCTCGGCGGGCTCTGTCTCGCCTTCCCTCTCTTGCCTCTGTCTTCTCTGCCCTTCCCCCTCTTGCCTTGTGACACGCGATCTGCAGGCTTTGACACCGGTCTCCACCGCGTCACTACATGAGCGATGGTCCGACTGCTACTGGCTCAAGGCAAGGTGCCCATTCTTCATCTCACCGAGTTCACGGTGTCACTTGTCATGGCATGTTTGTGCTTTTGCCCAGCGAACCGAAAAAAGGGGTGGCACACTTTCGACCATCAGCTCAGGATGGGAAAAGGCCATTCATTTGACAGCAATAAAATGCAATGCACCACCCCCCAACATGGCAAGCCGTGCCCAGACATACAGAACGGCGGAAGCACCAGCCCCCGTCCCGGTTGGACCCTGGATCTGCGCCGCGTCTGGTGTGAGCCCAATTGGGACTGGCTGGGTTGTGTGAGGGGGAGGAGGATGAGTAGGCACCCGTGGCAGCCGACGACAAATCGGGTGAATCGGGTGAATTGGGGGTTTTTAATTGGGGCCAGAGGGAGTCCCCAGGGGGGGGGGGGGGGGGGGGTTGTCGTGGATGAGAGGAGAGGGCCCGGGTCGTGCGAATTATGGCGAAGAGGCCCCAACTATCCTGCTGCAAAGCTTCCCCAAGCTGTAGCCGCAAGGGACGCAGCGTTGTGAGCTTCTTCTTCGTCTTCGTCTTTGCAGCACCATGTCTTCGTCATTAACCTGTCGACCCATGATCAAAAACGTTTCCCTCCCAGATCGCGTCCCGCGAACCATGTTTCATCAGCACGGACAGGTCTGAAGCCCATCCAGCATCCAACAATCAGTAAATAGCTGGATCGCTGTCTAGGACCTGCAGGGCACGGCAACCCAGACGCCACCTGACTACGGCCCGCCCTCCCCTGGATTCCCCTGGATCCGTTCCCTGGGATCTTCGATACGCAGAGCCTACCTGTGGTTCTTGCTTCTTGACTGATCTGCCTCAGCTCGTCCTCTTGGCACAGAAGAGAGGGACGAAATTCTCCTTTCATTCACACCATCTTTTCCCCTGACACTCATTCACTGCTTGGTATTGCCGTTGATCTCCAGACCCACCGTTTCGCCCGCCAGCAAACTATCAACGGCCGCGTGTGCACGCAGCCCGCAGATCATTGATGGCAGTCCTCAGCTCGTCTGGCCCCGATGGAGTGGGGTGGCGGCTCCTGCGCTGGACTGCAGCTCCTCCTCCTCGTCTCATTGCTCAACGTTCATTGTCCGTCTTCAGAAGCAACGAGGACCGCCTGTAGCTGTCGCCGCCATGAATGCTGTGCCTGTCTATGCACTTGCTACGATTAGGGTCTAGAAGTCGCTAGACCCTGGCTCGACGGCATCGCATTTGGGGGACAGCTGTCTTCTAACCCAAGCCTGACTGATCACGACGCCTCACCTATTGTGGAGTTCTCGGCAAGCACTCACTCCACCATCTAAAGCAGCCCCTAGTTGGCTCGCGGAGAAGGGCTTGATGCCGGTCAACCACCAGGGATGTCATCTCAATCCACGAATAGAATAGGAACGACAAAAGTGCATGATGCCCGAGGCTCACAGCCCAGCTTGACGAATGACCATCGAGTAGATACAGACTTTTGCATCTGCGGTGGAGGACCGTCGTCAATTGACGAGGTCCACGGGGGCAAAAGAGGCGTACAGTACCTGAGGTTGTAAGCCCGTTCGGTGGAGCTTTGGCGTCGTCTGGTCGGTCACTCTCGAGCGCCACGCCCGCAACTTGGCTCATTTCCCTATTTCACCGCCGCCTCTCCACTTGCAGCCAATGTTGGACATGAACACGGTCAACATCTCCAGCGAGTACCTGAAAAGATACATTGACCGCCTGCTCACCTTCCAGTTCCAGCGCCTACCCCAGACTGACTTGCGCTTACCTCGGTCTCCTTCACCGCGAGCCCCTGCCCTGCCAGCCACACTCGGCAGGTCGGGCCTGACCGCCTGCGCACTCTGATCTGGCGTCTAGGCGCGGCCAAGACGGCCTACCATCGTGACTTCCTCAGTCGAAGAAAAGCGAATGATGCAGTCCCGTTGGCCAGGGTGCTTTCGTCACGCGCACGAGCAGGTTTTCTGCCTCACGCGCTCTTGCCCGCGCTCTGTACGAATTGCAGAGACGCATTTGGCGAGTTAAAACATCGCGTGGGGAAAATCGTGTTCACAGAAACGCTTCATACCTTAGATCAAGTACTGACTGGAGTGCTTTGTAGACAAGCGATGCCATGGCCAAGATGTCTCTGTCCCCCCCGCTTGTTCGTTAATAAGGGCCTGTGTCAGTTCCCCGTGTCGGCCTTCCAGAGAGGTTCTGTAGCGGGCGCATGGCGAGGAGTGAGACACCTCCGGCGAGGATTCTGGTCGGGCTTGATATGGGCGTTGACTTGTGGCCCGGGGTATATGCCACTTGCTGGCGTCCTTACATATGATGAAGCGCGATGATGTTCGTGTTCTCTGGCTATGGGGTTCCTCGGCGCACCCGAGGGAAGAGCAGTGAGATGCTGAAGGTGGAAAGTCAATTGAGCTACACAGCCATGCTAGGCGAGGCAGTCTTGACGTTGAGATGATACAACGGGACGAAGCGTTCACACTGGAAGGTCAGCTGAACTACGAATAGACTGACTGTTTGCTCATCCCTTGACTTCGACACGGAAAAAAATATAAGTAGATCCACATCACCTTCCATGTTGGCTGTGTACAGTAGGCGGTGGTTGATAGACGGTGGCTGTGAGTCTCAGTTCGCCTTGAGACTTTCGGTGCCACTCATGGCGACAAGACCGGCCTGATGTAGCATGCCTCAAAAGCTGAGGTCCACCTTTGGGGGCTGTCGATTCCCTGATGATCTGTTCTCATGAAAGGCCTTCAGCACCCCGGATCTCATGGTGTCGGCCGATGGGCTGTTCCAGACGAAGCTTATTCTCCAGAAGGCTCCGTTGCCATCGGTGCCTCCCGAGCTGCCCCAACCCGACAAGCGAGCTGATCCAGTGGTGGCTGGCAACAATGGATTGACGGCTCCAACTCTACTGCCACCGTGGCTCGTAGTCCAGTTCCCGAGCACTGCGTTCTCGAAGCTATGGGCCGAGATGCTGAGGAAGAAGTACAAGGTACCAGGTATCGTGGGCTTCCTCCTCAATCATCCGATCACTCAGAATGGCCGCGAGCTCTGGACTGCGGTAGTTCCGAAAAAGCAGGCCTCGCCGCCTTGCTCCGTGACCTGGGCCTCGCTGAGATGCTCCGATAATCATGTCGCACGAGCTGAACACGCCAAGTCAGCGCAACTCTAGCTGTGTGCGCTTACCCCGGGATGTGGAAGACCGGGTGATTGCAGTCGCACCTGAAATCGAGGGGCGCCTTTCTGCATCATCAGCATCGCTCCCCCCCAACACCAATTCTCCAATATCACATTGATCGCGGGGAAATCCGGGGCCTTAACCGGGATTAGGGAAGGTAGAGGTTTGCCATGCATGCCGCCACCATGTATTTAGGATCCGCCATAGTACGTTAAGAAATGATCAAATGCGCATGGGGTTTTGTTGAGAACGACGGCAACGGGGCGTGGGGGAGAAGGCTCGATGAAACACGAGTCAGTCGTCCCATTCGCAGAGATCACCAACGTTATGCATTTGTCCGACCCTATTTGCTTGGCAGGTCTTATTGCCTTGGAGCACAGTCAAACCCTAGATTTCGATCGCTCAGATTCCAGTTCCAGTCCGGCCGCTTGTTCGTTTGACGGAAAAATTACTACACGACTCGGAAGGGCTGACCATGAGAGCCTGCGGGCAAGCGGATCTACCTAGTCACCGGTGCATCGCTGTTATGCTAATAAAGGCTGTGTTTTCTTCTGCTGATCTATCTGGCGCTGGTATGTACGGGATGAAGCCCGTGAATGATGACGAGATCGCGATTTCCCGTACTCTTCTTGACAGGCAGGCTACGAGGCGGCCAGTTACACCCACACCAAGGATCGTGGGCCACGACATGACGTACCCTGCGTCTTACCTATGGTATGCCAACAAAAATTCCCTGCGTACCTTTTTGTGAGTCCTCGGTGCTTGGCAATTCCCTCGTCCGAGTCCGTGTCCGTGACAGTGTGTGTTGCGGCACTCTCTCATGGCTGTATTGCCCTTGGTAGTGAGACATTATTCGCAGGGTCAAATGGTCAAAGCAATGGAGTCCTGCTGACTGATTTCGACAGATCATCTAGTTATGCCTTTGCAATGGATGTCAAGGAGTGGCACACATCGCAGAGCACATACATGTACAAGGGGGGTACTCTGACGTCTGCAGATGAGCGGGTCGGTGACGGATCACGGCAACGGTCAGGCAGCGTGCCTATCGTACGTGACGAGGGGGGCTCTTTGATGGTAGATGCGGATACAGGTAGTCAAGTCGCGATCGACATGTATGCCTGAATAGGGTTGTCGCATGATTGATTGGCTTGTGACTACTTGATCATTGTCTATCGGTCTGTCACGGGAGGAAAAGACTGGACGCCTTGACCAAGCCACAATCAAACATCTGCTTGATTCAAGGGGAGAAGAGGGAAGAGATCATCTTTTGGACGGTTGGTCAGCGACGATAGGTGCCGCTTCAGCCGTGGGAGTCCAATCAGGTCCAGACGGCGCGAGCGACCTGAGGTAGCTGCCAGCATAGCGCATCTCTCACCACAACTCGCGCGGCTCGTCAATACTTCTAATGTGCTTCGCCTAGGTGTCGTGATGGAAGAGACAGACTTGCGTTGGGAAGCCAGTAGTGCCTCCCAAGCATCCGCCATGTTGGCTGTCAAGGGATAACCAGCGTTGCCCCGATGTCGCGATGATTATATTGGTTCCTGCAGTCCCGGAGACGAACCAAGCCGAATTCCAGGCCCGGGGTTTGCTTGGCATCATCCTCCCCCCACAAAGGTTCTCCCCCCAAAGGGCGCCAGGTCGCTGGGCCCCCCCCCTACTCCCTCCGTTCTTCCCCTTTCTTTTTTTTGGTTCTGGAGCCTCTGAAGGGTCGCAGTGGGTGTTCTCCCCCTAAATTTCGCGCTTTGGGGTTCGGGGGCTCCTTTTTACCCCCGCCCTTACTAAAAATATATAAGGGGGA